AGCCCTTTGACTGCGGGTGGGGCGGGGAGAGACGAGAGTCTCTCTCTATCTCTGTCTCGGACCTGAGCCCCCGGTGCAAGTTCCCACTGATGAGAGAGCTTGGCCAAAGCTCCTTCTTGGGGCTAAGGAAGTGTTTCACTAAGGGGGGGGAGGCTGCCCCATTGAAGGCTGGAAAGGGTGTGTGTGGACACAAGCCTTTGCCCCCGGGGGAAAGGATAGCCATCTCTTCCTCACCCTCCTCTTTCTCTGGTAGGGGCCAGGATCTGTCCATAGGAAACAATGGAGGATGGGGGAACCTCCTTCTGGGGCCCATAGAGTTGGACCCCCTGGACCATTTTATTTGAACATAAGAACATAAGAGATGCCAATGTTGGATCAGGCCAAAGGCCCATCCAGTCTTTGTCACACAATGGCCAGAAATACCAGTGCCATCAGGAGGTCCACCAGTGGGGCCAGGACATTAGAAGCCCTTCCACTGTTGATCCCCCCCCCCCAAAGCACCAAGAAGACAGAGCATCACTTGCCCCAGAGCCCCTATCTATACCTTGTGGCTAATAGCCACTGATGGACCTCTGCTCCATATGCTTATCTAATTCCCCTTTGAAGCCGTCCATGCTTGTAGCCGCCGCCACCTCCTGTGGCAGTGGATTCCATGTGTTAACCACTCTTTGGGTGAAGAAGGACTTCCTTTTATCCGTTCTAACCCGACCACTCAGCAATTTCATGGAGTGCCCACGAGTTCTTTTATTGTGAGAAAGGGAGAAAAGTACCTCTTTCTCTGCCTGCTTTATCCCATGCATTATCTTATAAACCTTGATCATGCCACCCCTCAGTCGTCGTTTCTCCAAGCTAAAGAGCCCTAAGCGCTTTAACCTTTCCTCATAGGGGAAGTGTTCCAACCCTTTTATCATTCGAGTTGCTCTTTTCTGCACTTTTCCCAAAGCTATAATATCCTTTTTAAGGTGTGGTGACCAGAACTGCACACAGTATTCCAAATGAGGTCGCAACATTGATTTATATAGGGGCATTATGATTGTCAAGGTTTCTCTCTCTCACCCCATTCCAGAGATGGGGAGAGAAACCAAGCATTCAGGAACAATTAAACAAACATCAGGAGAATGTCTGTACACTCTCCAGGCTTTACCAGTAGACTGCCACCAGGATCTCTTTTTAACCAGTCCTGCAACTGACCAGTTATGAAGGTGCACAGAGAGTTTATAAAGTTATAAAGGTGAATATATACAGAGATATTTACAGGCTATTGAACAGCATATCATGCCTTAGTCTATGAGAACTAAGTCCCCTCTAGCTAACTAAACAGATAGCTATTATACTGAACCCCAGCCAATCTCTAACAAGGTGATGTAATCACTAACTCTCACAAGACTTGAATAACACCTGTTAGAAACACCTGTCTGCAATTACATGATTACTAGCCTGACAGCTAGGTTTGACAGACAGATCAAACTGATCTACAGTAACTGCTTGCTACCTTAGATATTCTAACTGCTTGCTACCTTAGATATTCCACCACCACCACCACCCCCGTCACCACCAGGTATGGCCATTTATCCAATAGTGAGAGAGTGGGAAGGTGTTCCAATCTCTGGTTACCATGCGTTGTCAGGCAAGGTATGTTTTGATTGGCTCGGAGTTGGGCATCCCACTCCAGCCTCTTCCATTGACTATGTGTCATGTCATTATTAGCTTTTGATGTGCTAATAATGTACTGGGCATAGCCCGTCCCATGCTTGGGAAGGCGCTGGCAAGTCACTCTCTCTTGGCAGAGGTGTCAAAGTGTCTTGCATATGGAGATGCGGCCTGGCCATCTGGCAAGCCATTTGCATGACAGGAATCACGCAGTAGTGTTACCAGCTAGGGCCATCTGGCTCAAGCAGGGAGGATTTTAGAAAAGCCTTTTTCTATACAATGATATTGGCTGATCTGTTTTCAATACCCTTCCTAATAATCCCCAGCATAGCATTGGCCATTTTTATTGCAGTCACACACTGTCTCGACATTTTCAGTGAGTTATCTACTACAACTCTAAGATCTCTCTCTTGATCAGTCTCTGCCAGTTCAGACCCCATCAATGTATATTTATATTGAGGATTTTTGGCTCCAATGTGCATCACCTTGCACTTGGCCACTTTGAACCCCATTTGCCATGTTGACGCCCACTTGCCCATCCTTGACAGATCCCTTTGGAATGCCTCACAATCCTCACTGGTTTTCACCACCCTGAACAACTTCGTGTCATCCGCAAATTTAGCCACTTCACTGCTTACTCCCAACTCCAAATCATTAATGAACAAGTTAAAAAGCATCTGACCGAGTACTGATCCCTGCGGTACCCCACTGCTTACCACCCTCCACTAAGAAAATTGCCCATTTATACTCTGTTTTCTATTAATTAGCCAGTTTTTGATTTTTTAGCTTACTCCCATGATTTTTTAGCTTACTTAGGAGCCTTTGGTGAGGAACTTTATCAAAAGCTTTCTGGAAGTCAAGGTAAACAATATCTATTGAATCCCCCTTGTCCACATGTTTGTTCACATGGGTGGACTGGAGGGGCAGCGGTGCAGCCCTGAGCAGACGCTCCCATGCTGCTGGACTGCTGCAGACAAGGTTGTTCTGCCATGCCGAAGCCACAACTGGAGTGGTATTGCCCACTCCCCCCAAGCAGTCTCCTGTTAAGAACATAAGAACATTAAGAGAAGCCAGTGTTGGATCAGGCCAATGGCCCATCCAGTCCAACACTCTGTGTCACACAGTGGCCAAAAATACCAGGTGCCTTCAGGAGGTCCAGCAGTGGGGCCAGGACATTAGAAGCCCTCCCACTGTTGCCCCCTCAAGCACTAAGAATACAGAGCATCACTCACCCCAGACCAAGAGTCCTTATCCAAACCTTGTGGCTAATAGCTACTGATGGACCTCTGCTCCATGTGTTTATCCATAAGAACATAGAAGCCAATGCAGGGTCAGGCCAATGGCCCATCCAGTCCAACACTCTGTGTCACACAGTGGCCAAAAATACCAGGTGCCAACAGGAGGACCACCAGTGTTCCCTTCCTTTGCCCCATTTGCCCCCCCCCCCAACAAAAAAATCCTGCCTACGGGCCTGCTCCACCCACTCCCCCTAAGCAATCTCCTGTTCCCTTGCACTAATCTCCCTTGCACTAGTTGCTCGCAGGCTGCATATGCAGGCCGCATAAGAGCCCTGGACGGGCTGCTTCCGCCCCCCCCCCCCGGGCCTTATATTTGACACCCCTGGGAAGGCGGGGGGGGGAGCGGGCACAAGTGGTGAGGGGCCTGTGGTCGAAGCTGTCGAGAAATGGAAAGGAAACCGCTGGGGGCAGGGCTGTGAGGCTGAGGTAAAACAGAGTGTCTGAGGGAATGGCAGTGAAGGCCGGGAAAGAGGAGGCATGTGTTTTTCCCCCCTCCTGCCTCCTCCAACCGCAGCTCAGTGGAGTAAAAAACAATATTGTTCGTTGGGTTTCCCTGTGTCATTTATAACGTTTATTCTCCGGTACCTGGCATGACATTCATGGCACACGTGGGCCCGGCCTGACAAAGTAACATCTATGTCAGATCCGGCCCTCGTAACAAATGCGTTTGGCATCTCCGATCAAAGTAAGAGGCTTCCGCGGACCTTGGCTTGAAGGGCTCAGCTGAGACTCACGTAGACAACTCTCGACAAAGTATGTTCTTTTAAGTAGACAAAATGCAAACTGGGAACAGTCCCTCCAGTTAAAAGTCATCAATGAAAACTAATCAATGCCTTTTTTTTTTTGTAGCCTGTTTGCTGCAGCAGCTGTTAGTAGGGGATCTTGCCAAATTGTTAACTTTCTGGCAATTCCGGTGGTACCCAAGAGCAGTTTTAGCAACAGTCGGTCCAAATGCTGCCCAGATGCAGATTAACTCTGGGGAAGGGGCGGAATCAGTAGAACGATATGAACATCTCCTTTGCTGACGGTTTCCCAGATATGAGGTCTGGAGCCGTTGGGACTAACTGATGAGGCCTGTCAGAAAAGAGGGGGAAAGAGGGTTAGAGGCTGGTGAAGATAAATAAATAGGACTCAAAACAAAGCACAACTGGGCAGTCTGGCGGGATTCCCACCCACCACCCACCAGGCCAGAAATGTTACGGGCCTCCTCCATTTTACAAAACTATTTCCTTCGCATTTCAATTAAAGCACCGTCTGCCAGCACAGGAAAAAAGAAACAACCCAACGTGAGGAAAGTCTCTGGCGAAGGGAGCCTGGGCTCTCGAAAGCTTCGACCGTGAAATTCTTCTTGGTCCCTCAGGGGCTCTCGGACTCGGATGGGACTGGCCCAAGGAAAGCCAATGCCACACTGAATGAGATTTACTCAATATCAACCATCTTTGAATCCAGCCAGAGTTTCAACAGCTCCCGTTCCCTGATGGTGAAGGTGGGGGACTCAATGGAGTACATGGGGGATGTTGCGACAAGCCACCCCTCTGCACACAGGCATGGACCCCAAAGTTCAGCTAAGGAGTGGGGCGGTTTGCCCCTTTAGCGAGTGCAGATTTCACTCTGGGGCCCTTCAGGAGGTGGGAAGGGGGCCTCCGTCTGGGACCCAGACCTGCAAAAAACCCTCTTCTGTGAACCCTCTTCTGTGTGTCTCTTGCCCTTCCCTTAGAGTCCCCTCACAGGTGACGGTGTACCCGGAGAAGCCGGTGGGACTGGGGGGAGTCCACTGTGCTCATCTGCCTAGCAAAGGAATCCCCCCTCCCGTGAGCATCACCTGGCTGAAGAAGGGGCAGGAGGTGAAGGACCGTGTGGAGGAGACGGATTTCTACCCTGAGACGGACAACTCCGTCCACAAGCTCTCCTAAACCTGAACTTAAAATGGCGGAAAGAGGAAGCTGCTGGTTTGAACTTTAACCCTGTCCTGAGCTCCCAAAGCACCCTCGAGGCAGTCTCTCACCCACGCCTTCCATCTACGAGGCAGGGGGATCACATGACCGGCCTACCTCACAGGGCTGCTGGAAGGAAGACAGAGATACTGTACGTGAAGTGTTCAGGGAATGCCCACAAGAAATACATAACCAGTTTCAAACTTTGGCCAGTTCCTTCATGCCAAGCAGGATTAAAAACAAAGTTATTGGAGGAGATGTACGGACGGCCTTACCTGCAGCAGGTACCACAGCAGGTACCACGGAGAAAGAGAGAGAGACATTCAAAGCCCTTTCAGGGGTGTTGATTTCTGTGGTTTTCCGGCACTATGAACTCCCCCACCCCACAATAATTTCAGAAGAGCCCTGCTGGGTCAGACCAGAGAGGGTCCACCTAGTCCAGCCTCCTGACTCACACAACAGTGGCCAGCCAGTTCCTCTGGAGGGCCAACCATCAGGACAGAGAGGCCGAGGCCTTCCCCTGATGTTGCCTCCTGGCTCTGGGATTCAGAGGCCGACTGCCTCTCAATGTGGAAGTTCCCCTCAGTCACCACGGCTAGTAGCCACTGATAGACTTATCCCCCAGGAATCTGTCTCATCTCCTTTTAACAAGAATATAAGACGAATAAGATATGCACGAAGAGCCTCCCCCAGAAGTCCAGCTCGAATGCCAAACCAGACCAAGCATCTAGTCCTCAGGATGACCCCTGGAGACGTGCAGAAGGACCCCGTTCTCAGTCTTTGGCTCCTCTATGATAATTCTTTTAAAAGCCGACAAGAGTCCCGCATTCTGCAATATATTCCACCCCAGTTCACTCTTTTGTACCCATTAAGCGCACTTCTTGTTTTTACTGGGTTGGGTTGGGGGGAGGCCTCGATTTAATAGCAGGAGACCAGCTTAGTACGCAGAACCCAAACCAGAACTGCCTGAGGAAGGAGAAGAAGACTGACCCCCACTACGCCCTTAAGCCCAGGTCTCTCGTTCTTAATGGGAGGGGGGGATCCAGTTCAGATGGACCCCAGTGGGGAACGGAAGCTGGGAAAGTCCTACGTGGTGGGAGGGAGGTTGCGGGGGGGGCAAGTCCCCTTCAGCGCCTTCCCTGCCGTGTTCCTCTCTCACCAGCCACCCGTTCCCACCTCCTTACCTCGCCTGGTCTTCAGGTAGAAGGAGACTCCCGCGGCCCCAAAGACCACCCCGAGCACGGCCCCCACAGCCCCCGTCCACACTTTGCTCTGGGCAGAGTTCGATGACCGCGGCTCTGAGGAAAGAGGAGGAAATTTGCGTGAAAAGATGGCTCAGGGTCAGGTTGGGCCTCTCAGATTCTAGCTCTCACAAGGGGAGGGTTGGTCCGTGAGGTAAGCACAGGCACGGCCCACCCCTCCATCCGATCTCACCGTCCGCAGAGCCCAGGCTGAGCTGTGAGGTCCCCAAGCTTGTTTGTCCTTTAGATTTTTTTAGTCACCGCTCACCCAGAGGGTCTCGTGGCGACTTAGAACATCAAAGCCACATAAATAAGATAAAGACAATATAAAAGCCGATAACAAATAGAAAATATTAACATTAAAAAGTCAGTCTATTAAAATATGTGGCTAGCAGCACACCACTAACAAAAACAGCCCGAACGTGTGGATTACCCTCCAAAGGCCAACCTAAGCAATTCAGACTTTAATGCCCTGTGGAAACTAAACAATCCCAGCAGGGCCCGGGTGTCATCTGAGAGCGCATTCCACAGGGCAGGGGCCACAACCGAGAAGGCCCTTCCCCTGGTGGCAGCTCACTGACCCTTCCTGGGGCCAGGCACCTGGAAGAGGCCCCTGGATGAAGGCCAATGGGAGTGCTTGGGGGGGTGTTGTAACAGGAGAGGCGGTCCCGGAACTAAGAGGGGCCCATTCACATCTTGCACCACCACCCAGAGAGCGCGGGGGGGTCCTCCCCCAAAGACTTGGTCCTGTGGGCCATTCCCAGGCCCTTTGCTGTGTTCCCATGAGGGTTGCCAACTCTCAGTTGGGGGATTCCTGGAAATTTGGGGGAGGTGCCTGGGGGGAGGGGGGAGAAGGGAGAAACCTCAGCAGTTTATAAGGCCATAGACTACACATCCTCCAAGACAGCCGTTTTATCCAGGGGGGATTATCTCCCTAGCCTGGAAATCGTTTGCGATTCTAGGAGAACTCCATGCCCCCACCTGGAGGTTGGCAACCAACTTCCTACTAACAAAGTGAAGCACTGGGACTGGAAGGACAGGGAGATACCCAGATGTAACTAGGTATCTTTGCACGCGAAAGCTTATACTGTGTGAATGAAACTTTGCTGATATCAAAGGTGCCACTGAACGCAGACTTTCTTCTGTCTTCAGGGTAATTTGAGCAGTGTTCCCTCTTAGTGTGAGCCAGCTCACAGTTCTTTAGCCTCCAGCTCACAGATTTTTGTCTTAGGAAGGATGGCTCCAGAGCAAACTAATTTATGCTGTAGCCAAATTGCTCGCTCACAACCTTAGCTCACAAAATAGAGTTTTTGCTCACAAGACTCCACAGCTTAGAGGGAACACTGAATGTGAGGATGCACAAATCCAGTTCAGGGATCCCTGGTGAACAGCAAGGATGTGCCACGGGGACTGAGTGACACCTCGGAAATCTTTCTTCGCCCTTCTCTCCCCCTCCTGTTTCGGTTCCACCTTCCTTGCCAAACACATAAGAATGTCTTTGCAGGATCAGCACTTGATCGGACACCAGGCCTTCCAGCCAGAATCCTCCCTGGGAAGCCTCTGCTGGGCCCACTCAAACTCCAGGCTCCACAGAGCTGACGGACGACCTTGGAACTCCCACCCACTGTGCAGGATTGTGGGTCCCTGGGAAACGGGGAAGCCCGCCGGAATCTCTCACCCCACTGCACGGTGATGGGTTCCTTCAGGCTGCTGTGCTCCACCTGGCAGGCATAGAGGTCTCCCCGCTGGGGCACCGTCTCCAGCATCGCCTGGTTCAGGAAGGTCCAGTCTCCATTCTGGATCTCGTCCGCGTACCCCACCCCTTCCGCCTGCTCCTGCCCGTTCTTCAGCCACTTGAAACGAACCCCCGAGGGGTAATATCCTGTCGCGGTGCAGAGCAGCAGTGTGAGGTGGGCCAGGGGCCCTGCCTTCGTGTGAGAGATTTTCACCATGGGCTGATCTGCAGGAGGGAGAAACACGGGGAAACTTCAGGGACACAGGAGAACCAGAAAAGCACCCACAGATCAAGAAGAGGGAGGGGTTATCATGTCTGCAGCCGCAATATTTTGAAAGACACAACCCCCCGGGTTCTCTCACCCACCAGCACAGCCGATAAACCACTAATCCACCTTCCAGTCCCTGCATAAACAAACACACAAAGGCATCTCTCTCCCTCTCCTTTTTCACAAACAGTAGGAGCTGCTTTGCAGGATCAGACCCCCATCCATCCAGGCCGGCATTCTATCCCTGATAACAGTGGGCCCGAAGCCTCCCAGAACTGACCTGCGGAGTCAGTGTGAACTCTCTGGAAGGCCCTGTTGATAGGGGGGAACTTGCAGTTGCTGCTGCTGCATATATACACCTTTCTTGGACCGATAGCTGCTGACATACATACCTATCCCATAGGACTATCATGAATGTGACACAGGCCAAACTAGGCCTTCCCCTGATGTTGCCTCCTGGCTCTGGGATGCAGAGGTTGACTGCCTCTGAATGTGGAGGTTCCCCTGGCTATTAGCTATTGATAGACATCCTCCAGGGATCTATCTAATCCCCCTTTAAAGCTGTTTATTCCTGTGGACATCTGTGATCGGCAGCCCTTAAAACAGGACTCAAGAGGTGAAGAGTTAAACGTCCACAAGAATGGAGAGCTTTGAGTGACAGGCAGCTCCAAGCATTCTGACTGGGCGGCTCCAGCTAGGGATCTCTCCAAACATTCTATTTCCCTCTCTCTCAGCACCCAGCTAATAAAATTTATCCCCTGGTTTGTGTGAAGAGAGACGATCCTGTACCTTCAACTGTTGCATATCTGCTCTGAGGAAGAACTGAGTTGAAGAACTGAGTCTGAGCCTGTGCCGGAAGCGGTTCGTTTCACACAGACATAAGAACTGAGAAGGAGACCTGGCCGGGTTGTCGGGCAGTGAGATGAGAATTCCCATAGCTACACTGGCTCATTTTGGGGCCCGGCCCCCTGATTTATTTCAAAGGCCCCATGACCTTCCATCTGCTGCCTCTTCTTGCCTTCCCCCATAGCTAAATGGCTAGAGGAGAAGCGTCTACACCACCCGTCGGGGCCCCTCACGGTTTGGTCCTCCCTAGTAAAGCAGCAGGGCTTCCCACCCTAAGCCGGAGCTCTGCTTAACTGCTCGGCTTAGGGAAGCACCGGTCACCTTGTGCACGCCGTTGGGAATGTGGATTGACAGTGGAGGAACAGGGCATCGCAGTCTCCTTTGCCCTCCACCCAAAGCTGGGATCCGGAGGCGGGCGCTGTGGCCGAGGACCCGAGCGTGGCGGGCGAGGCACCAAAGGGCTGCTCACCCATCTCTCCAGCAGCCGGCCTGGGCCTAATCCCAGGGGTACACAGCGCGCCACCACCCCTTCCACCCGCTCCGCAACTTCAACTGGAGGCCGCTCCCAGTGCAGCGTGTCCGTGGGCACTCGTGCTGCAGCCTCTGGACGACGGGCAGCAGGCCAAGGGACTTCGGCCTCAACCTGCACCTCCTCGAGGACCTCTTCAGCAGCCGGGGGAAGTGTTGGGTGTTACAAGTCAAAACACTTCAGTATTTACAGGGTTAATGCTGTTTGTTAAGTCACATGTTTGTTTGTAACCAATCTGTTTAGACAATAGGATGCCCGGGAACTTTGGAGCTAATGTGCTAGTCTGACTGGAAACCAAGGTGTCAAGTATTTAGCATATTGGCTTCTCCTCCGGCTCTTTGTTCTAACTGTGAAGAAGACGCCATCTCTTTCCGTTTTACCTTCTAGCTGTAAGGATGTAGCCATATTTAGCTCTTTGTTATGTTATATCCTGTGTACCTTTTCCCCATGTTAGGTTTACAGTAAACTTTTATGTTTTAAAACACACCATGGACTCAGTCTCTTAATACTCTGCTGATTTACTCAAAAGGAATCCCAACAGGAAGCCTGCGCGGCCACCCCAGCAAGCAGGTGAGGGCCAGCGGGTGCAGGAGGGGGTGCAGAGGGTCGGTGCCTGGGGATGCCTACCTGAGGGACCGCCTTTCCCCGCATTTTCCCCAGAGAGCACTGCAATCAGGGTCCCAAAACCGCCTGGACCTCCCTGGCCCAAAGGAAGCCAGGTTGACAGCAACCAGGGCCAGGGCTTCCTCCTTTGTAGCTCCGTCCTATTGGAACGAGCTTCCTGTCCCAGAGGACATCAGGGCCCTGCGGGACCTTTCACAGTTCCGCAGGCCCCGTGAAAACAGAGCTCTTTAGGCGGGCATTCCGCTAGGAGCGGCGTCTTACCAGCAGCGCCCGGCGTGAACTCCGATCCAACACGACTGAGCGCGATGGCACCGCTGAATGTGTCCTTTAACTGCCCTATACTCTTATCACCATCAAGGTGATGTTTTAAATTGATTTGTCTGTGTTTCAAATGATTTATTGTGTTTCATTCATTGTAAAATGTATACCCTTTATCAGTTTCTGGACGCCGCCCTGAGCCCGCCTTGGCGGGGAGGGCAGGGTAAATGTTAAATAAATAAATTGAAAAGTACTGAGACTTGCTAGCGATTTCAGCTCTCATACTTTTAATTAGTTCGGAACAATACAACTCCAACCGGCTGGCAGGCCGGTTTATGTGTGCAACAATCCCACACCCAAAACACACCCGCACACAAGTGATTGGTCATTATACTCTCGGAGTCTAGGCCTCCAATTGGTGTGGGCTAGGATCTGCTTGGCCCATTGTTCCTGAGACTGAAGCTGGGCTGCTTCACATGACCGCTGCTGGCGACCTATGCCATGGGAAGAGCAGAGGAGTAAAGACTCCGTCTGGGTGGCCCAAGATCTTCAACTTTAAGTAAATTAACTTTAATTAATTAGCTCGTGCCCCCCAAGAATTTGAAATCCCCCCCAATTAGAAATTCCTAGCTACGGGGAAGGAAACCCTCCTCGGAGGGAGGGAAGATTGGGGGGGGGGGGGGTTGCTTTCGATTGCCCCGCGCTCACCTTTCCTGGTGAGGGTGATGCCCCGTCCCTCTTCGACCCCGTAGTTGTAGCGGCAGAAGGCGTCCACCTGGGCCCGCTCGGAGTCCACCCGCTCCTTCTCGCTGTTCCAGGCGCGCACGTCGGGCTCGGCCATCGGGGTGAGGGCCTCGAACTCTCCGCGGCGGCTGTCGAAGCGCGCGAACTCCTCCCGCCCGTAGAGCAACGTGTCCAGGTAGCGGACCTCCCCGCGCGTCCCGTCGGCGAAGTGGCACTCCGGCTTCCACTGGACCAGGAAGTGCGCGGCTGCGGGGACAGAGACGGGGCGGGCGAGAAGAAGGGAGTCACTCCGGGGCTCCTCCTCCTCTCCCCCCCCCCCCAGAGGCCGCATCCTACTGCTCTAGGACTCACCAAAACTCTGTTATAAAACCATAGAGTCTCCAGTGATTCCTAGAGTAGCATGATGTCATTTCTGGATTTTTCCCTGGAAGTGATGTAACACTTCTGCACTGAAGGCATGTTAATTTTTCCCCTCCCACCTGATTTTGAAGCAGCAGTGGGCACTTGGAGTGTGAGGTGGGAGATGTCTTGCCCCCAGTAAGCAAATGGTATTCTTTACTGCATATCTGGACAACTTTCTCAGCAGAAACAGACATTTCTATCACTTCTGTTAATGCTCAAAGCTGCATGCAACCCTCAGTCATATTTGACTTTGCCCAAATAGCACAGGGGCGAAGCCGAAGTCCGGGGGGGGGGCGGGGGGAGGGGCTACTAGTGGTCCCTCTAAGCTGCGTGAGTGTGAGCCAGCTCACTGTTTTTCAGCCCCTGGTGCACACATTTTTGCCTCGGCTCAGGAAGGAGGGCCCAACCGCAGCCAGATCACTCGCTCACAACTCTAATGCCAGGGGCGCACCAAGTGGGATTTTTGCCCACAAGACTCCACAGCTTAGAGGGAGCGCAGGTGGGCCCCTCGGATTCTGGGGGGAGACGATTTCAAGTGCAGGACGGAGTAACCCTGAGCTCAAGCACAAAGCTTAAGCCCAGGGCAACCTTGAAGGCCAACAAAGTGGAACTGAAAGCTTTTGTGTGCAAAGCACTCTTTCTTTCTTTCTTTCTTTCTTTCTTTCTTTCTTTCTTTCTTTCTTTCTTTCTTTCTTTCTTTCTCTTTATATCCCTCCCTCCCTCCCTCCCTGCGGGTTCAGGGCGGGTTCCAACAATATAAAACACAGTACCAATTAAAACCAGATTAAGAGCAACAGTATAAAATACGATCACTCCGAGGTACCCTGTCAACTCTAGCAAAAACCATGTCAACGCTAGTGGAAACCAGATATCGTAGTGCTTAAGATGGCATTCAAATATGAAGGCTTGTGAGGATCTAGGCCACTGATGGGGGGGCAGAAGGAGGGGGACACCCGCTGCCTCATAAGAACATAAGAGATGCCAATGTTGGATCAAGCCAGTGGCCCATCCAGTCCAACACTCTGTATCACACAGTGGCCAGAAATACCAGTGCCATCAGGAGGTCCACCAGTGGGGCCAGGACACCAGAAGCCCCTCGCACTGTTGACCCCCCACCCCAAGCACCAACCAAAAGCCCGTTGGTGGAAGAGCTCCATCTCACAGGCTCTACTTCAGGCAGATTGGAAGGAAAGCTCAAAAGCCAGTTACAAGAAAAAAAGAGGGTGGGGGAAGCCATTAGGGGGGGCCACACAGAGTCCAGGTGCACACCTGCAGAGCTGACACTCGATAAGATCCATGGATGGCAGCAAATTGGCAGGGAAACGCAAGAGTTAACAAAGAGGTATGTGAGACTGAAGCTGGAGTCCAGCGGCACCCCCAAGACAAACCGCGCTCAGCCCTGGGGACATGCCAGAACAGAGACCCAGCGTGCGCACTCTTCTCCACATACATTGAAATAGGTTTCCACTTTAACAAAAAAGAAAGAAAGAAACAGGTTTCCACAGATACTACATGCAGGTGTGTGGGGGGGATCGGTTACCAGGAAGAGCTGATTAGAGTCAAGATGCATCAGTAACTAAGATAAAGCATACAGCAGAGTTGAGCTAAAGAGTTGGGGGTATTAGCAGGGAACCTAAAGGTATTCCTTAGAATGGGAGGGGGAAGCACAAGTCCTCCGGAGGGAGGGGGGGCAGAAGCCGCAGGCAGAAGACCTCTCGGCTCAGAGGGTCTCCTTTCTAGAAAACTGCGAATTCATACTTTCGGTATGAGAATGTTGTACACTGATTACTGGAAGGGGGGGGGGGGTTGTGCTTATGTTAGTCGGCTGTCAGTCTGTATTTTGATTGCTGTTGTGAATATTTGAAAGGAATGCTATATGGATTTTCCCCAGAGGGAATTGGCAGGGCAGATGCTGCTGGCAGAAGCCGTCTCGCCTCAGAAGTTCTCCGTTCTATAAAACGGCATGTTCATATTTTAGAGATCCCAGAAGCTCCTTTCAAGAACGGACGCCATCCCAACGCAGAGCAGAGCTGCCAGCTGGTGCGTCCCCAAGGGACGGGCCAGTCAGAAGTCAGAAAGACAGAGCCCCCCCCCCGCCCCCATCTGCTCAAACACAACAGGCCTGAATGGTTGCATGTTGTTGGGTATTTCAAGATAAAAACACTCAGTGTGTATTGGGTTAAATGTCTGTTTTGTTGTTACAGGAAATCACATGTATTTGCATAAGCCAATGCTAGCCTAGTTCTGCAAGCCCCGAAAAGCATCCCTGCTCTGGTAACTTGATAGGAAGCAAAGTGTCAAGGTGTTTGCATTTTATGGCTCCTCTTCCCCTCTTTGTTTGCTGGTTTGAAGAAACGTGTGTGAGAGTAGCCATTGCCTCTTTTAGTCTTGTACTTTGTAGAGTGAAGATGTAGGGAATAGCTCTGTTTGTTATTTTCTCCCAGTTAGAAATGCTAGAAATGTAGTAAACTTTTATATTTTTAAACACACATGGACTCTGGGTCTGATTATTGCACTCTGGTAACGCTAAGGTATTTTTAACTCTGCTGAATTGGCAACTTTTCATAAAGAAGTTTCCAACAAATGGTTATGGGCGCCAGTGAAGCTTCTTGCTGTGCAAATGCAGAGTGAGTGCCAGAAATAGACCAGAGAAAAGCAACTCATGTGTGTTAGGATTTTTTCTAAGGTATAAAACTTTTACTTTTAAAAATCGCAATTGGATTAATGGTGCTCAAGCAACGTTCCTGAGTTTTATTCAAGAGCCTGTGGGATCACACTGAACGTGTGTGTCTTCAAGCCGGAGAGAATTCCTGTGGCGTTTGACTTGGATAACCTTTTTCCCCGCGACCTGAAGCAAGCTCAACGAACGGAGGAGAGGGTGAGCCATTTCCTGCCAGCCGCTGCTGAAAAGGCTTGGAGCCTCGCGCGCATCAAAGGATCGCCAGTCTTCCTCTCTACGTTCTACATTTGGCTGAGTATTACAATTAGACAAAATGCAAGCTAACAAGAATTTAGCATTTTTTAATCTCCCGGTTCTGGACCATCATAATTATGTCTGGTGGCGTAGATGCCTTAGAAATGTTCTTCAATCGCATATGGCCCTTTCTGTAATTGATGCTGACCCCCCCGAGGGTGGGAATGCTTTGAATAAATATAATGCAAATGATGGTCTGGCGATGGCCCTTATCATGGGATCAATTTCCCCAAGGGACAATATGGAAATGCTAAAATGCAAGACGGCGAAAGAGATGTTGCATAAGTTGGAGCTCACTTATTCTTCAAAGACTGATGCTAATTATGTGTTTCTCCATCAAAAGCTTTTAAATGCACGTATGCGTGATGGCCAGTCTTTACTAGAGCATTTAAATTTTGTAATGGAAACATACGACTCTCTAAAAGACATTGGTGAACAGCCGTCTGATAAGTCTTTAATCTCAATAATTCTTGGTTCTTTAAACAAAGATTATGCACACGAGGTTGCCGCCCTCAAGGCGTCTTTGAACCTAACTCTGCCCCATGTACTAGATTACTTAAAGGCAGAGGGGCACAGAAGAGAAGTCTCTAAAGTTAAAAGTGACTTGTCTGTTTTAAGTATTAAATCTGATTGTGAAAGGAAGAATGACAAGAGAAATGTAAAGTGTTTTCGCTGTGGGCTGATGGGCCATTTTGCCCGCCATTGTCAGTCAGAGAGTTCGCCCAGATCAAAGGATTTGGAAGCACAAAGGGATCAGAGGCGTCCCGCCAAAAGTGACCGCGCTCAGTCTAACCGCTCTGAAACAGGAACCCCTAGGGGGCGTAGCCAAGGAAAGGCAAATGGTCAGGCTGATAGACGGAATGTGTTTGCTGTCAGAGAGAAGCAGCCTCAGAAAGCAGATGCTGTGAAACAAGAGAGCAATATGCATGCATTGACTGTCACTGGAATGTGTGACACGGATGATAATCTAATTCTAGTTGATAGTGGAACCGTTTATCATGTGTTTAATGGTGAAAAGTGGTTCACTGACTTGGATAGAAATTGCAAGCCTGCTCTTCAAGGAGCTGCAGGTGAAAACCTTTCAGTCACAGGGTCTGGATCTGTCAAAGTGTACGGTTTGAACTCTGATAATCAAGTTGTTGAACTTACACTCAAAGATTGTGTTTTGATCCCTAATGCCACCACTAATCTGATATCCACAAGGAGAATAATGCAAAGTGGTAGTAATGTTGATCTCAGACCAAGCCATGGAAAAATATGGAGTGAAAGTGGATTTAATGTGATGCTAGAAACAAACAATGGCTTTCATTACCTGAGACCCATTGTTGATGCTGTTTTTGAGGATGATGACAGTGAAGCTGATGGAATAGTATACCAAACCAGATCAGCTGAATGCAATCATAAAGACTGTTTGTTTGCCTGGCATGTAAAGTTCGCTCATAGGAATTTAAAGAGTGTTCAACAGTTGTTGAAGGAATGCAATATTGAAGCAGCAGAGTGTGAGCTCATGAGAGATGGCTGTGATATTTGTCTAAAATCTAAAGGCACAGCTCCCTCTTACAAAACTAGACCTCATGACTCCAACACTAAGCTTCTAGAGTGTGTCTACTCTGATTTAGTTGGACCTATACGGGAATCTGCTGGAGGGAACAGATACTTTGTCAGTTTTCTGGAAGCAAAAACCAGATATGTTTATACCTACCTGCTTAGAAGCAAAGATGAGGTGCTTGACAAGTTTAAATACTATGTGTCTGTTGTTAAAAACAAATTTGGCAAGGCGCCAGAAGTGTTGTTCACTGATAATGGTACAGAGTACTGCGGCAGTGAGTTCCAAAGATTCATGGAACAAGAAGGAATTGAACATAAGACAACAGTTCCTTATTCGCCCCAACAAAATGGAACAGCAGCACGCTTAAACCGCACCATACAAGAAATGGCGCGTTCTATGCTAATGCAATCTGGACTTTCAGAATCTTACTGGGCAGAAGCAGTCCACACTGCCATTTATCTGCATAACAGAGTTCCGTCTAAAGCTACTAATAAAAGCCCTTTTGAATTATGGCATAACAAAATGCCTGGACTTAAACATATAAGAGCCTTTGTATCAAAAGCCTATGCGCATATACCAAAGGAGAGAAGGGGCAAGCTTGATCCAAGAACAGAGACCGGTATCCTAGTCGGATATGCCTCTGGTGGAAAAGGGTACAGAATCCTAAACCCTGAAACTGGCTGATGGCAAAATAGACAAATACAAAGCCCGTCTAGTCGCGAAAGGATTTTCACAGAAATATGGAATCGATTTCTCGGAAACCTTTGCACCTGTTGTGAGCTACACATCCTTCAGGACACTTTTGAGCATAGCAGCCTCAAGGGGCATGCACGTTGAACATTTGGATATCAAAACAGCCTTCCTCAACGGAGACCTGGATGAAGAAATCTATATGCAACAACCAGAGGGATTCTCAACAGAAGGACAAGAAGGCCTAGTGTGTAAACTCAACAAGAGTGTCTATGGACTAAAACAAGCAGCCAAAGCCTGGAACGAGAAGCTGACTAAACTGCTACGTAAACAGAACTTTAAACAAGGAATAGCAGAACCTTGCTTGTTCACAAGACTTAAAAATGGAAAGTATCAATACATACTAATTTATGTTGATGATTTGATTATTTGCTGTCAAAATCAAAGTGATGTACAAGAAATTGCTGATGGACTAAACAAGGAAGTTGAAGTGAAACAGTTAGGAACTGTACAATACTATCTTGGAATACAAATTGAAAGGACTGATGATGGAAGTTTTCTTTTGAGCCAAAAGCAAAAGATCATGGACTTTATTGAATCTGTAGGAATGAAAGATTCTGCAATTGTAAGCACTCCAATGGATAAGGACTATCCCAAGCTTACTGAAGGTAAACCACTAAAAGACAATCATGAGTACAGATCTGCAATTGGAAAATTATTGTATTTGAGCACAATCTGTCGTCCAGACATTACTTCAGCTGTTGGACTTTTGTGCAGAAAGACCAGTTCACCTAATGAGCATGACTGGAAAGCTATTAAGAGAATTGCAAGATACCTGAAAGGAACTTTGGATTACAAACTTAAGATTTCAACTTGTGTTGAACCCAGACTGACTGGATACATGGATGCCAACTGGGACAAAGCCTCACCTGATGGAAAATCTACAAGTGGATACTTGTTCTACTATGGAGACAGTTTAATTACTTGGACTAGTCAAAAGCAAAGCATTGTAGCCATGTCTACTGGAGAAGCTGAATGTGTATCAGCACAAACCGCAAGCTATGAACTCTACTGGATCATACATCTATTGAAGGACTTCGGCATAGATGAACCAAAGCCAATAATACTTTTTGAGGACAATCAAGCCTGTATTGCTATCTGCAAAGGAGAAGGCACCAAATCTAGAAACAAGACCATTGCACTCAAGTGTCACTATGTGAAAGAGCTGCAAGACCAAAAGTTGATTGAACTGAGATACTGTTCTACTGACCAGATGATTGCTGACGTCCTGACCAAGCCGCTTGACAAGCAACGTTTTGAGACTCTTCGTGAATGTTTATATTTGCATGACTTTCGTGTTTTAACTTGAGAAGGAGTGTTGGGTATTTCAAGATAAAAACACTCAGTGTGTATTGGGTTAAATGTCTGTTTTGTTGTTACAGGAAATCACATGTATTTGCATAAGCCAATGCTAGCCTAGTTCTGCAAGCCCCGAAAAGCATCCCTGCTCTGGTAACTTGATTGGAAGCAAAGTGTCAAGGTGTTTGCATTTTATGGCTCCTCTTCCCCTCTTTGTTTGCTGGTTTGAAGAAACGTGTGTGAGAGTAGCCATTGCCTCTTCTAGTCTTGTACTTTGTAGAGTGAAGATGTAGGGAATAGCTCTGTTTGTTATTTTCTCCCAGTTACCTTTCCCTATGCTAGAAATGTAGTAAACTTTTATATTTTTAAACACACATGGACTCTGGGTCTGATTATTGCACTCTGGTAACGCTAAGGTATTTTTAACTCTGCTGAATTGCAACTTTTCATAAAGAAGTCTCCAACAAATGTGGATTCTGGTTGTATTTGCTTTCTCCAAGTACTATGACTTTTGACGTTTGGCTATTGTCAGTGTCATAAAAAGCAAGGGTCACTCACAACTTAGGTGGGACCACACTGTCCTAGACGTGACCTCTCTCAGTACTTTAATTAAAAAGAAAAAACCCATATTTATTTGATATTGCTCCTTGAATTAAGTAGCAGTTACACACGCACGCTTCTTCGGATCCATCTTCGTCCATGCACACGAAAGCTTGTACTCAGAACAAAACTTTGTTGGTCTTAAAGGTGCTACTGGACTATAATTTCAGAAAGAGACAGGCGAATGGATGAGTTTGGGAGGGGGATGAATTCCACAGTTGCCCCCCTCTCATTAATGTTATGCTAATGAGCTCCTGCACCTCCTTTTCTACAAAATGACCCCTGGTAAGCTCCACAACTGTGCCTACCGGAGCCTTCTCCGCTGCGGCTCCACCTGGTGGGCTGGAGGGCTCCCAGCACTTCTATCATTCCACAGAAAAAGTCAAACGGAATGGTTCCTGAGGATGCTTTTCCAGAGGAGCGAGGGGCGTCGTCTAGGGCACCATTCATTATCTTCTTCCTGCAACATTGTTTTCTAGCTTTGGGTGGTCCAGATTTGGGTGGGTAGCCATGTTGGTCTGAAGCAGCGGACCAGAGTTTGAATCCAGGGGGGCACCTTTAAGTCCAGCAAAGTTTTATTCAAAGGATAAGCTTCCGTGTCCAAGCACACTTCTTCCCGATCCAGTGAAAGTGTGCTCGCACACGAAAGCGTACACTCTGAATCAAACTTTGTTGGCCTTACAGGTGCCCCTGGACTCAGACTTTGCCTAGTTGATATGTCCCAAAACCAAGACAGGCTTATATATATTTATTTGTCTGGCCTGAGATGGTGTAGCCTGGGAGCCAGTTTGGTGTAGTGGTTAAGTGCGGGGACTCTAATCTGGGAGAACCGGGTCTGATTCTCCACTCCTCCACTTGCACCTGGCTGGATGACCCTGGGCAAGCCGTAGCTCTGACAAGAGCTGTCCTTGAAAAAGAGCAGTTCTCTAGAGAGCTCTCTCAGCCCCACCGACCTCGCAGGCAGTGTTCCCTCTAAGCTGAGTGAGTGTGAGCTATCTCACAGTTCTTTAGTCTCCAGCTCACCCATTTTTGTCTTAGCTCAGGAAGGAGGGCTCCAGAGCAAAGTGATTGAGGCAGTAGTCAAATTGCTCCCTCACAACTTTAATGCCAGTAGCTCACAAAGAAAAATTTCTGCTCACAAGACTCCACAGCTTAGAGGGAACATTGCTCACAGGGTGTCTGTTGTGGGGAGGGAAAGGGAAAAGGAGTTTGTAAGCCGCTCTGAGACTCCTTTGGGTACTGAAGGGCGGGGTATAAATCCAATCTCTTCTTCTTCTACTGCATCAATTAAAACGTGGGTGACCCACCTGGAGTCTTAGCAAGGAAGGCGGAGGACAAATAGACAGATATCAATAAAGAAACGGGAGGGGCGCTTCCAGGGGTGCGCCAGGAAGGGGGGGCGGGTCTGGGGGCCCTTCAGGCTGAACCTGCGCAGGTGGCACCCAGAGCCAGAGGGCACCCGGGCACAAGAGCCCCCACCACACAGGTTGGGCTGGTGCCGGGCATCGAGGCTTGAGACAGGCTGATGGAGCTGAAGGTGCCCCCACTCTGCCCCTTATCCAGAAGGACCTTTTAATTGGTCTGGTCTGGTTGGTTGGTTTCCATTTTGGCATCCACCTCGCCCGGCCTGGAGAGGGAGAGATCCTCCGGGGACCCCCCCTCGCCCACCGCTCAGGGAATTTTCACCTTAACAAGGACTGGGGGGGGGGGGAGCCAAACGGGGGACTCGCCTCGCCTCTGACCCCCTCCAGCCCCGAGGGG